TTATGGGTTCTCCTAACCACCCCCCTGATCTGCCCACCTAGAGGTTTCCTTTGCCACGCATGGTTTCCCGAAATTAGGGGTACCTTTAAAGGGGATATAGGGATTATATAAGAATTATATAAGGGTATATAGGTATATGTATGGATATATAGGGCTTAGGGTTTCCCAAAATAGGGGTACCTTTTTGGGGGTCCCCATTCTGAGGATTACAATATTTAGGGGTCTAGATTGGCGTCCCCCTATGTGGGCAAACTACCATATGGTTTTGAGAACAAGGAAAGCAGCGAAACTAGCAATTCAGCCGTCAGAAAAACCTTAATTTCTGCACCCTCAACCCCCAAAACCTTTGACCTAAACCGTACATCCCAAACCCTAAGCACTAAACCCTATATCCTAAACCCAAAACCCAAATCCTGAAACCTAAACCCTTGATCTCTGCCCTCATCGGAAGTCGAGGGACGAGGAGGTCGGCCACATACGGCGTCAAAAGCCGCTGACCCTCAAGGGACTGCCGAGTAGACGCCTCCTGAAGGGGATGTAGCTTTTTGGGGTTCAGGGTTTGGGATATTAGGGCTTACCTGAACCCCAAAAGTATGCAGAATAATAGTTGTTTGGGCTATTATCTGTGGTTGTTGGCTGTCGCTTACCTACTTTTGGGGTCCAGGTAGGTTATCCAACCGAAACCAGACACTCACTAGGATTCCAGTTCCCCTCGTCTGACATCCAAATGCTAAACTTATTTGTGGGTAGTAGGTCCTTTTTGCCCTCCAAATCCCAGTAAGTAAACCTGGAAGGCAAGAAGGGGGGTTTGGTGCATGGGACCTGAACCCAAGCCCCACCGTCAGAATAATTAGTCGTGTTATTCCCTGAGGACTCCCATAAGCTATCGCATACTGTAACATACCCCAAGACCTGTGCTACTCCAATACTACACCCCTAGCTTGCTCCTTTCTGGTACTTAAGGAAGAGTGGGGGAGTGGATCCCTAGAGTAATCCCTGTATAATCCCCAGAAATACCCCTTTCAATGGTACCTATATTCACGCCCCGGCTCCCCCTAAAGCCTGAACCCCAAGTCATAAGGCCTATAAACCCCAAACACTCAACCCTCAACCCTGAACCCTAAAGCACCGGTAGGCTATAGCAACTCTGGAGCCTAAGGCCCCAAACCCTGCATCCTCGGTGAAGCCCGCTTGGATTTGTCGGGCGAGCACATCAATGCGCTCACGCTCCATGAGGATCGATGTTTTGGCGCTCAGGGAGAAGATTGAGGGTGTAGGTGCTTCAGTTTAAGAGTGCGAGGATGGGGGGTAGCTCAGGGCCTCAGGGCTCTACGTTTCGGAGACGTTGAAGCATGGGGTTCTGTCTCCACCGGACATACAAGAGCATGCTTTGAAGCATCTGCATTACAGCCTGTGAGGACAGGTTTTGTCTAAAGTTGAATCTGCAAGGATCACCATGCGCTGCATGGCAGCTGTGCAAAAGTCTGCAGATCGTGCGTTGATGATGTCTTTGGAACCTTGAGCTTATGTTTGGGGATTTAGGATTCAGGGTTAGGGTTTAGGGGCTCAGGCTTAGGTTTTGGGAATCCGGTTCGGGGTCAGGGACTTGTGAGTTTCAGCGCAGGGTAGAGGGGAACTTTGACGCTGTTATAACAGGAGCCGATCAATAACATTACAACATCCCGAAGCTGCTACACTCCTTTCAGCAGAGACAGTTTTGGGATGACAGATGACCCGACATGTTCAAGATATTCTACGCAGGACTTGCTGGAAAGCAAAGATATGCATTATCCCACCCGATAGGCAAAGCTTTGCGAGGCTGTTGTTGCAACTGCCATTGGAGAAATCAACTTGAATCTTCCCGCTCGCCTCCACCTAAGCTCTCGAAGGACTAATGTGCATTCCCTCGGTGGAGCATGCTGCGTGCTAGGGGAACAAACGCCCATTAAATGGAAGCTGGGGGAATGGGTCGTGTTTTTAGGAAGAGGGGAGGACTCCACAAAATCAGCCAAGGGCAGCCTTGACCCACTGCTGGGTCGCTGCTGCAGGAACTTAGATTAAGTTTCCATTCTACGGGAATATAGTAAATAACAGGGCTTTCTTGTTATAGTAATTCTTCCAGCTCCTTAACAGCAACCCAAACTGTTCACCCTGCCCGTACGGTTCTAGGCAAGGTAAGATGGCAGAGATTTGGAGGCTCCATGCGGAGATCCAGAAGACACCTGGACCAACTACTTAGGAGGATCCCTCACCCCGGAATAGTGGTATAAGAGGAATATAAAAGGACGCTAATATAATCCTTACTATCCCGTATAGTCACTATTATTGGGTGGGGGCTCCACCTAACTTAGAACTATTATCATTATTACTATTTCTATTACTATTACTATTAATGCTACTACTTCTACTTTTGGGGAAAGGGGTCACATGGTGGCCACTCTCTTGGATGATATGAGCTATAGTCTAAACTCCGAGCATCCCCCTTAATAACCCCAATAATAGTCCCCCATATACTCCCCGACATAACCACCCTTGAAGGAGATTCCCTAAACCCTATATAATCCCCTAGATAAACCCTCTTTGATGAATAAACCCTAAACCCTAAACCCTATATTTTCCCCTATATAACCTCCCTTTGAGGAGTTTAGACTAATGGATGACTCTCGCTCATATCGAGATGAGGAATCCTTTCAGAAGCTCGCCTTTCCCTACTTAATGCTCTGCTTGCCTTGCAGCTCCGAACCCTGGTATCAATAGCGCTGATAGTAAGAATAGTAAGAATAGCACAAGTTGTAGAACTAGTAGTAATCATAAAAGAACTACTAGTAAAAACACCGGTAATAAGACTAGAAATAGGAATAATATAGTAATAGCAGTATTAATATTAATGAACCACCTTTGCCCCACACTTCCACCGACATCAGACAACCTGGAGGTGCTCAGACAAACCCCCAATAATCCCCCAAGGATGGATGAGGCAAATGGGGCCCACACCACCTTGTCCTCAAACTCCACAATGGGGACCTCTTCTTTTCGGAGCAGCCCGTGAGGCGGGTATAGGGATCTCACAAGTGTCTAGGGTATGCATGTAACATCAGGGTGGGGAAGATCATGCAGCCCTACACGGAAGAGAGTAGAGTTCGCTGCGCCCGGGTCGAGATGGGATATATCTCAAGTTCAGGATCTGATGTGCTTCAGAGTTTTCAGTTGTGGCTTCTGGTTTCTGTCAGTGGCTGAACCGGGCAAGGGTCAAGGGCCCAGTGTTTAGCCTCCATCAAGATCATATCAGCTGTGCAAGCAGCATGGCTCAGGTTGCGCCGGGCAGATATTGCAGCTTCCTACATGTTATTCAGCGCTGTAATCACCATTTCGGCTGTGGCAGCCTTGGCCCGCTTCCACCACCACTACTAACAATACTAATGCTACTTCTGCTCCTTCTACAAGCGTCGCGCAGAAGAAACAGCATAAGCTCCTCCTGCGTCTGCTGTTGCTGCATGGATGTCATGCACATTATTAATAATCATCATGATCGGTCTCCGCCTCCCCCCCCCCCACTCCTTAAGCTTGCTTCTACTCCTCCGTGTGCTACTCTGTTTCATACGGACCAGACTGCCGCCCCTATATGACCCGCAGCTCAGGCTGATACAAAAACCCAGTGCCAACAAGCATGGTGATACTGCTGATGGCAGTGCTGACAAAATACATGCTGATCAGACATATGATGATGAAATATACAGTGGTAAAATAACGATGATGATGATGATGATGATGCTGATGATAATGATGATGAGGTGGTGGTGGTGGCGGCGGCGGCGGTGGTGGTGGTGGCGGTGGCGGCGGTGGTGGTAGCGGC